CTGTGGTCCCTGTTGTATCCTTGTACTGGGCCATAAACAGAGATCACCTCTCTAGGAGCCATGTATGTTCTAAGTGGTGCTGCTTTTTACATGTAAGCATGACTTCACTTTTCTCAAATGAAAGTGCCATCTCCAGCAGTGGAGCAGGAGATGCAATAAAATAGCATAAACTGGCAGCCTTGTGCCTAATGCTCATGTGAAATGCCCAGTGGACTTTTGTGGTTTTCCTTCTTATTATGCAGGCCCAAAGTTTGAAGATTAGACAAATGTGTGAAGGGACCTTTAAAATACCTGATTGCTCTCTTTTGTTCATTATCTGGACTTGAGAGCCTTACAGCGTGGGGCTTGCTTCTTCCACTTTAGCCACATGGGGAAGCTATAGAGAGCTACTCTATACTGGTAGAGTGATATATTGGTCACTCTAAATTGGTTGGGATTTCCAATTAATTACAGATGAATGGGGGCAGCTTGCAAAGTGGTAAATGGGAAGCTTGGAGTTACTACAGAGTAAGAGATCTAATGAGTAACCTTAGCGAATGAAAGCACATTCCTTACTAAGAAGCTAAGAACCAACTTTCTATTTGAGTAGCCTTGATAATTAATCAGTTCTTTCAGCCTTTTGAGATGTCACGTTGTTCCTGTTACTTGCCACAGTGTTAAAATTTGGCAAGCAGAAAGCTGTTGCAGTGCCTGCTGGTTGTGTGCCTTTTCTGGAAAACGTTGATAGTGTGTCAGAACAACTGAATTTCAACAGTGTCAGTGTGCCCTGTGTAGCATGGACTGGAATGGCAGCCCACAGGAGCTGTCAGGGCAGCACTAGTTTGTGTTGGAAGTGTATTCGTGCTGGAGTGTTTGCGTATCACAGAAGACTACATAACCCCTGTTCTTTCTCCCCAGTTTCTAAGTGAAGAGATAGTAGAGGGAAGGAGCATGAGTGGAGTCTTTTCATAATCATCCCAAACAGAGCAGCTCCTCCTCTTTCCTTCTGGCTGGAAGCACCATGTGCTGCACATCTGCAAGCTTTGGAAGAGGGTAGGCTTGACTGGGCTCTCCTGGGAGTTGGTACTGTTCTAGTCCTCCTCTACAGATTTTCTTCCAGCTAGTGGTGTTTGTCCTGTAGTCCAAATTTGCAGTACTGAGAAGTTGAAGATTTGACCAGTGATCATGATGGATTTGAGGAGCGATTGTGATGATTGTGCACAAGATCATTTGTCTCTTTTTTGGCTTGTCTAAACTTCTCTCTGGAAAGTAGGAGCTATACTTAAGAATAATGAGACAGTCTTTAGCTTGATGATTATGTGCTCCTTTTTTCCCCTAACAGCATTCTGCTTAATTTCAACATACAGGATGATCCATAAGGCTGCACGAGCAAGTTCAAATCTGCTATTTCATAATGTGTGAATGGCTAAATTTTTTCAAATCTAAATACTTTTTCTGGGATGGAGGGTTTTTCCTTTTTTTTTTTAATGTGATATATTTGAAAACTTTACTTTAAAGTAAAAATTTGAAAACTTTAGATCCCTCCGTAAAAAGATACCAAATTCAGTGTCCGTTCCTCCTTGAAGTAAAAAGCTCTATCTTTTGTACCTCTTTACTTTTCTGGGTCTGGCATGGGCATGTTTAGATATAGGAATGAACTGGGAATCTGCAGTGTTAATATAATACGTATCAAATGTACTTGACTTGTTAAGGAATTTGCAGTTTGTTTTCTTTGTAGCATCTCTGCATTCATCAGATTTTGACAAATGTAATTTTTTTAGCAAAAAAAGGAAGTGTTTCCTATTCACTATAGAGAGCCAAATGAACAAATACTCTATCAAGATATTATCTTAAATGAAAGTGGGATTAGGGATGTTCAGTTATGGGAAAACCCCTCCAATTTTGTTCAGCCTGGGACCTCTCCTGCAAGAGGTTTTCTGGTCTTCCCCTTCAGATGTGCAGGTTGCTGGATTTCTGAAGGAAGCAATTCTGACATACATGGCCAATAAAACTTTCTGAATGCAGTGTGTGGAGGTGGTTAAAATTCTCACTGAGAGGTAGAAACAAAACCAGTGGTCAGACTGGTCAGGCTGCTATCCCAGGGAGCCTACCCTAGTTTCAGTTCTTGGAGAAATGTGACTTGCAGTGGTAGAGATGAGCAATCGCATCGTGTTCATGCTGATCCTCAGGGTGCTATCAGTGGTGTTAATCACAAAAGAGATTTGGCTGGTCTCATTCACAAGAGCTAAATCTAGCTACCTCTAAATCACACTTCTTTCTCTTTGAAAGCTTCTTGGGTAATGTCTGGTTACTCCTATTTCAGATGATTCCCTTTTTCCCTTTCTGTTTTTCTGGGTAGGTCTAGAAGCCCTTTAGGATTGCCCAGTAGGAACCTCAATAGCCATCATTTGTATATGAACTTTAGAACATGTAAATATATTTACAGACTGAAAGAAGAACATTATTGCACAGAGGAAACAACATTCCGATTCCTGATGTATATTAGATTCAGAATAAAACAATAAAAAGCTCCAGCATGTTGTAGAAGGAGAAAAAAAACCACACAAAGCCCTTTTCATTTTCACCCCTTCCCCAGTCTGTTCAGCATTTTCAGGTTGGGTGTTTACTGCAGTTGAATATTGCCAAGGGTGAGGTGTCAACACATCATCTTTGATTTGAGTATTTCTGACCTTAAGGCTTTCTCCACCATACTGTTTATTCCTATGGCTGCGCCCCTAGTGCACTGCCCTACCTGCTCAGTTTTGCCAACATAGCTATTCTTGGAGCTGTACTGTGACCTGCATCGTGGAAGCCATCTTGCAGGATGCAGTGCAGGAAAGGGAAGATAATGCCAACTCAGTTTCCTGGTCCAGCTCTCAGTCATGGCCTGTGTTGCGGGTGCATGGCTATGGCATGGGCAGAAGAAGGAGCAGAAGTGGGGCAAGACTATGCAAAACCTGCCCTCTGGCAAATGGTTGTGTTTCCTCAAGTGAGGCATATTGCATTTGCTTTGAATGCAAACTGTGAGGCTGTTCATGGGTCTGAGTTGCTGTTAAGGGACTGTATGGAAGAATCGCTAGTTAGCAGAACGTGTCAGAACTGGGGTTTGTAGCTACTTACAAATACATAAACTCAGAGGTTTCAGTTAGTACCTGTATTTTGTACAGGGGCTTACAGCTTCATGATAATACTCCTCAGAATGTGAGCAAATGCAACAAATGCCTCCAAACTGGGTGGTTTTAAATTCAGCTCCGTTAGGGCACAAGTTAGTAGAACCTTCAGTGCAAAAGGCTTAAATTGAACCATCTTCCTACTCCCTAACCCCAGTTGCACCCGCTGAATTGTGAGATGTATTTTGTAAGACTGCTTTAAGTCAATGTTAAGAGTCGTGATTTTCATGGACAAGTGGAGTACAAATGATTTTTAAGGTTGTTCTCGGGGTTCTGTTTTGGTTTTGCTTTTTGTTTAGCTTGGAATGTATGTACTCACATGCTATGATTTAAGGTATGTTTTCCAAACTCTGTTCTGTGTTTTATGTTGTTTAAGCTGGACTTTATCTCCTTATTAGCAAGTTACAGCCAAAGCGTGGTGGCTGACAATAGAAGGTTTATCTAAACATTAACAAATTAACTGGGGCAGGATGTGTGCTGGGCAAGGGCAGCAGCAGGAACCTTTGCTCAGCTAGAGCGCATGACCCCGCTTCTCAGCCTGCATGGTTCTGAGCATAACCTGTGAGCTGTGAAGCAGTTGCTGATGTCCCTACAGGGGAGGGGGTGAAAGAAATCGTAAGCAAAGGATATCTTCAAAAGCTTTGAGGAACACTGGCGTGTGTAATACCTGTGCAAAGAACAGAGGAAAGCTGAGGGGATTGCAAGGCAAGTACAGCACTTTTCAAGCCCTTTGAAGGAGCTCAGTTGAACTGGGTGCAGCTTACTTCGTCTCCTGCAGAGGAGTGAAGAGCTGAGTCAGATCTGAACTGTGATCCCCCACATTTTAAGCCGAGTTATGGGGCTGCAAACCTGACTCTATACAGAAATCCAGCTGCAGAAATATGGTTCCCAGCAGATCGCACCGTCCTCTTGGTACATACAAGATGCTATGTCAGTCATTTAGTCCAGTGAATGTTTCTAGGCTTTATACCACTCCAAAGCTTGCATTAGAAACCTTTTGGGACTATTGTTTCCTTTCTGTCATATCTCCTTTCCAAACTCATTCTGTTTAACTTTGGAAACTGTGCTACTTCTACACCTCTCTCACCTTGAGAACACACCATAGAACAAACAGAATTACTGAATTCTCCCAGAACAAGCCCTGCTCCTACTCACATGGCAACTCAGTATCCACCGTGTGCTGTCTGATCTCAGTTCCAAGAAGGGAAGGGGGGTGGGGGGTGGAATTTCAAAACAAACCCCTGGAACTGTTAACTAATTCTCTCGGATGAGACCATGAGAGATGAAGCATTTTGTCTAACAAACACTTAGTAGGATTGGTGTGGAAAGGACTGTATGGAAGAATCTCCACTGTGGGAGGGGTGTGGGGGGGGGGTGGAATACCCAAAGGTTCGCCTCTACCTCTGGCCCATCTCTGTTGGTAGGGATGAGAGCCACATCACTGTTCTTTGCCTAAACTAAATCCTGCAGGAATGCCAATGAGATACGTGCAGAAGAAAAAAATCTCCCTGCTCTAACTTTCCTGGTGGAAGTTGGAAGTGGTTTATGCTGCTACAGAAGTTGGGATTTTTTTTTAAGGAAGTTTTGAATGTAACAAATGAGGTGGAGTGAATAGAAAGAATAAGTTTCTGCAAAATACCAGTATACGTTAAGACATCTCTGTTGCTTGCATTAAGCCTAGAAAGAAGCATGAATCATAGTAATCCATTTAGGTTATAGGTATACACAGCCTATTACATCCGTTTTGAAGGTTTTGGTCGTGCTGCCCTCTTACTGTACATATTAACTACTTGTCTTTTTAATTCATTAGATCAGCTAACACATTAGCTATCTGCACCAGAAATTACTCACTTTTTGCCACTTTTTCTCTCTGGAAGGCTCCACTGAGTCCTTTGGAGACTTGACTCCCTCTATGTCCTTCCAGGTCCCACGTTATTCGTCCCACCTTTGTGAGCACCTTATGTCATGGTAACAGTCCCTTCTGCTGAGGCGGGTTGGACTCTGCTCCCTGTGGAGCTATCAGAAGAGTTGGCTGCAACTTTCTCCTTCAGTCCTGGTGGTGAGGAATGTTATCTGTAGAGCTGCCAGCTCCAGCAGGTCTGGCTTATCGGTCAGATGGTGTTGAATTGTAAAGCAAAATCCTGTACGCGTGTGAATGTATTTCCAGCGTGAGAAAAAATCCCAGACTGGGTCTGTGTTCTGGAGAGGCAAATATTTCCTATCCTATGTGAAAGAACTTTAGTGTTGCTGGCCCTACTGTTGTGACTTCAGTTCCTTCAAAATCTAGAGATTAATTTAAAATAAAAGATTATTTTTTTTAATCCAGCTGTATGTTTTTGTCATTGTTGTTTTCTAAACCCCTCTGGGAAGGGGAGGGGTTGTGTGTGTTAGCACTGTGCTGTCTCCCAGAGAAATGGTGAGGTTTTTATTAAGAAATTCCCATCTCTGCATCTGTCTGCCTGTCCTCTGAGGCCAGTTCCCATCAGTTTTATTCCCATTTTGTAATTTGGCTGTATCCCTATTTACCTTCTATTCTCCAGGCCTGCAAATGCAGTTCTAGCAGGATTCTCAATTTCCCGAGTCTCCCAAGAGAGACCTTTACCATTTTCTCAGGCTGAGAACAATTGATTTGGGTAAAGTTCTTCACTAAAAATTGGGGTTTCTTTTAAAATGTTGTAAAGTGTCAACCCCAAATGAGCTATCACGGAGTTGCCATTGTGAAACAAGGCTGATATTTATTCCTTAGTTTTCTGGTTCTGGTAGGTGTAACAATTGCTATCATGAGGCTGTCAGAGGTGCAGATTCACCAAATCCCTTCAGTGTGTGATTTAAACATGTATAATTTTAGGCAAATGTTTTAGTTTTTTGTTATCTGAGCAAATAGGATAAGATGAATAATTCAAGAACTGCAAGGGCCAGAAAAGAGACCCCCATTGATACTGAATGGATGTTGAATCAAGTTTCTGCTGTATCAAGGAAAGTTCATCTGAGATAAGTTTACTGCTTAGTCTGACGTTAACAGTATTACAACGTTACAGATGAATGGAGCGCGTGTGTTTTTGTCTGTTTTAAAAGTCGGTCATTTCTTCATGTTAATAATAAGATTGCTTTTGGCCGACTTACCTACCCGAGGAGGGTGATCACAGTGTAGACCCTTTCTTTTTGCATACCCAGGCACATCATCTGGAAAATGTGAGAATGCACTGGCTATGCTTTACAAGACAGGAAATAAAGCCTTGGAAATGGCTCTACAAAAGAAGTAAGTTCAGTGTTATTATTTGGTATCAAGTGATTGTTAAGGGTCATGCTCTTGCTACATTCATATGTCTCCACTGTAAATACTTGACCAATACTAACAGTTCAGCCTGGGACTTCAGTGTAAAGTTTGGTATGAGAAGCTTTTTCCATTATAATGATTTTTTGTGTGTGTGTTATTGTTAGTGATAGTCTAATTTGCCAGTGACTATTTCTGTTTAACAGGATGTTTTTATGTTACTTTTAGAAATTATTTAGCATATAGTCTTAACAGTGGCTTTACAAAGTCTCTCATGATACCTTTTTTTAAGAAATTTTGTTTCATAAATGCTGTTCTCCAGTTTATATTTTTCCAGCTACAAAAACTTGCACATCAGCAGTTCCCATTCTCACAGTTGTCCTCTCCCATTCCAGTTGCCATGCACTGAGACACATAAAACACAGGTGGAGATTTTGCCACAAGCAAACGCGGTGCCTTTTTCAAATGCGTTCATGGGTTTTGGTGATCAAAATGCTATCTGGATACCAGTCCATCTGGAATGTTAGACAACATGAATTAATTCTTGGAAGAACCTTTCTAGCAAAGGCAGTCAGGAACACAGTTCAAACCTGAAAATGGACGACAAAACCCTGAGCTCTGTTGACAGAGCTTTCTTTGAAAATCTGCTCCCCACTCTGATCTTGGATATTTTTCTCAACAGTCTGGTGGTTTAAAGCAAGACCTGCGTTCTTGCAGAAGTATGTATGTGAGCAGATGTCCATGTGTAAATGCAGTGTAACTTTACAGCTTCCCTATTATGAACAGCAAATATCAGTGCAACCATTTGGAGTTATTTTGACCATGTTTTAGATAACTTTGTTTTGCTTCTCACAGAGAACTAATCTTGGAAGGCTAGAACTTCTGTGCAGAGCAGCTGGAATTAGTTATATACTGGAATCACAGCTGATTTGGTTGCATCCTCCAACATGACCAATCCTCAGTAAGTACTATGTGAGGGCAGTTACAATTTACCTTAAATAAAAGGGAACAGGTTGTTACTTGTAGGAGAATGATGTTGTGACATCACGAGGGTTCTACCAATATTACTGGAAGAAGTTGATATTTTGAGGAGGAAAGGATATAATGGGTTGTTTAAAGAGTGAATTGGCAGAACAGCCGTGAACACTGAGAACATGTCTGATGTGTTAATAACAGCCAGTGGCTGGGAACTACTATGTCATGTTACTGTCAGATGTTTGCCTTTTTTCTTTACTGCCACCAAACCTTGTCCCAGAGCTGTTTCCAACTCAAGTGTGTTGGTTTGATTTGTTTTTCCTTTCCGTCAAATCAGACACTATCTGTCATTTAGTCTGTCTAAAGATGCAGAATCTAAATACTTTTGGGAGAGGGAAGGCTGCACCAACTCTTTTTCCTTTATAATACTGGAAATTGGATCATTGTTCTCTTCTGTGCAAAACTGAACCCGCTTGGACTTGTAAATGTCCACAGGATGGCACTAAAGGTGAAAATCAAAGAAAGAAAATTCTTGCTAAAATTAGCTCTTCCCTCTGGGCTTCTGGTTCAGGTTGTTGACAGAGCAATACTGTTCTGTTGGAAATGAATCTAGTTGCTTTCCATTATTAGTTAGACTAACAAGAACATAAAGTAAGCCTTTAGGTTGTTCAAATAGTACTTTACCTCTACTTTCTGCCATACTATGACCCAGTTGCAGCATTTCCCTGCCAAATATAGCAGCATTTTCTGATTTTTAAAATTACTTTCTTGTGTAATGCTGGCAGCAGTTAGCTCCTTTGAATTTAGGAATCATGTTTTCTGCCCCAAAGGGTTAGTCTAATGGTGAGGCTCTGACCAACAGAATCTGTAGCTCTTTCACATAGAATTTTAGTTCCTTCACCCACATCTTTAGACTTACAAGTTGTATGAGTTAAGAAATTCTCTAAATTTTATTTTTTTTTTTTTAAAAAAACCCTCACCAAAACAGCTGTTAATCAGGTTTCTTTAATAGCTGGAAGATTTTAATAAGCTTCTCTAAAACAAAATCATCAATATAACTTCTGCAGTCATATAACAGAGGGAAGTTAGTGCCAAGCACTTTTTGAGTATAGCCTTAAGGAAAAAGAGTATCTTTACTCCTGCTGCTGTAAACCTGAGACAAGTAGCCTTAGATTTCTTTAGAAGTTAGCAAGCTCTCCTGGATGAAAGCTGGAGAACTTTATGCTTGCACCTACTTTGAATCAAATAGAGCTAGCAGCTTGACATGCAAGCTGTCTCCTATAACAAAGCCATCCTTTACATGCACTAGATAATAAGTTGCCATCCGTCAAAACTATTTTAATATTGACCCACAGTGGAAGAGGGGTCAAACTACATCCACTAATGAACAGTTGCTTTGTATAAAATGATTAATAAGCTGAGCTGCTCATTGCTCACTGACATAACTCACAGAGCAGTGAGGATTTAGTTGGCCCAGTTACATGCCTGCCTTCTGTTTTGCACAAATATTTTATTTGGATTCATGAAGACAAGTGTGGAGAGATTTGGTTTGTCCTCTCAATGGGGACATCTTCCTCAGTGTCTTGGCAAACGCCTTTTAAGTTGCTGGCTTTTAAGGATTCTGTGAGTTGTTGTTCTAAGTTATTTTTATTTGCTTGCTTATTTACCTTCATTTATACGTATATCGGTGGAGAGAGAGAGAGGGGGTGTTTTATTTTGTTTGTTGCATTTTCAGGTCTACAATAGAAGGTGGTGTTTCGGAAGTTGAAATAATTTCACAACAAGTAGAAGAAGAGACCAAAAGCATTGCTCCTGTACAGCTTGTTAATTTTGCTTATCGAGATCTACCTTTAGCTGCACTTGATCTGTCTGTGGCTGGGTCCCAGCTTTTGTCAAATTTGGATGAGGAGTACCAAAGAGAAGGGTAAGTACAAACAACATGATTTTGTTTTATAGTTTTATGTTATCTGAATTTCATGGCTTTTTACAAAAGAAAACCTTGAGCTGGAGAAGTGCAGCCAGTTGTCCTCAACCTCTCCTTAAAACTGGTGTAACAGGATGGAAGCAAACTTTTCTAATCTAACCAATCTGTGCTGTTTTGGGGCTCTTTACACTTTTAAGTAATTCATAGTTGCTATTTGATCACAGTCTGGAAGTCTTCTTTCAGGGAAAACTAAACCAGGCATCTACCCACCAGGCAGGCAGAATGGCCTGGTGAAAGCTCTTTATGAAAAGGGCTTTCAGGGGAGTTGCAGGGTGACAAAGTTGGCTACTGTGATTCTTGCACACAGTTGCGCATCTCTTGACTGAGAGATAATAACATAGTACTGCTGATTCCTGGACAGATTGTATACTTTTCACAGAGTGATTTGAGTAGCTTGCTTGTGTGAGATGTTGTCTTTGATAATGTGTATGCAAACTACTCCTGTTTTCACAGAACAAGTAACTGTATTTACCACGAAGAAGAGATCTTCAGGGGGTTTGTAAGAGACTTTTCCTCACAAGAAAAAGAATAGTATGTTACTGATCTCCATGATGTTTAGGACAAGAAGTAAGAAGCTCGAATTGCAACAAAAGAGAAAAATGAGGGTAGTGAAGTGCTGGGATAGACAAACTGGTATGGGAGGAGGGGAATGGAGTTGCAGTCACTAGGTGTTGTGAAGAAGATGTGTTTGTTAGGAATGATAACGCTCTAGTTTAACATCCCTTGGGAGAGAGATGAGGTGAGTG